TTTTTTTGGTTGCATTGGGTCTTGGTTGCTGCGCACGGGCTTTCTCTAGTTGCAGCCAGCGGGGGCTATTCTTCGTTGCGGTGCGCGGGCTTCTCATTGCGGTGGCTTCTCTAGTTGAGGAGCACGGGCTCTAGGCGCATGGGCTTAGTTGTTCCGTGGCACGTGGGGTCTTCCCAGACCAGGAATTGAACCCATGTCCCCTGCATTAGCAAGCGGATTCTTCTTCTTTTTTTTTTTAACATCTTTATTGGAGTATAATTGCTTTACAATGGTGTGTTAGTTTCTGCTGTAAAACAAAGTGAATCAGCTGTACATATACATGCATCGCCATATCTCCTCCCTCTTGCGTCTGCCTCCCACCCTCCCTATCCCACCCCTCTAGGGGAGATCATCCTGAAAGTGTGAAGTGTTTGAGCAGCCCATAGAAAACCTAGCCCAATAAATAAAATTAACAGACAGGTGTCAAGGTAGAGTATTTTAGACACCAGGAATGGTCCATGTGCATATTCATAGGAAAAGCAGTCAAAGTAAGGAGTGTATTTCTCTCCTGGCTCTGCATACCTCCGTTTGATATCTTGGGAGATACTGTCTCCAGGGTGTGACCAGAACTTGGGATATCTTAGAGCAGCACAGCACAGGTGGCGACCAGAAGGGCAATCAAGGTGAGCCACTTGCGGCCTGTAGGTGGGGTGGAGGAAGAGGAAAGAAAGTAAAAAAATATGGAGAGCTGGATTTTATCTTTGTTTTTTAATTTGGATTTCTCCAGTTGTATATGTACTTATTTGTGTGTGTGTGTGTGTGTGTGTTTGTGTGTGTATTTAGTTCTCTATAATGGTATCTTGTATAGTTTGTGTATCCACACTGTGGTCGAGATCCCTCACAGTGCCCTTCTATAACCACACCCATATCCCTGCCCCAACTTCCCTAAACACTGACAACCACTAATGCATCCTCTGTTTCTGAAATTCTGTAATTTAAAAAATATTATATAAATGGAGTCGTACAGCATGTAACCTTTCAGGATTGCTTTTTTCACTTAGCATTATTCTCTGAAGATTCATCCAAGTGTGGGGTGTATCAATAGTCCATTGCTTTTTATTGCTGAGTAGTATTCCAGAAAATGTGTGCACTACTGTTTATTTAACCATTCATCCATTGAAGGACATCTGGGTTGTCCCCAGTTCAGGGCTATTATGAATAAAGCTGTACAAACTTTTCTGTGCAGGTTTTCTTGTGAAAATATGTTTTTGTTTCCCTGGGATAAATGCCCAAGAGTGCGATTGCTGGATCATATGGCAATTGTGTGTTTAGTTTTTGAAGAAACTATCAAACTGCTTCCAGAGTGGCTGTGAAATGCTGTACAGTCATACAGCCACCAGCAATGTATGAGCGATTCTGTTTCTCCACATCCTTTATGGGGTTTAGTGTTGTCGCTGTAGTTCTGATAGGTGTCGCTAATCATTCTGATAGGTGTGCCGTGATACCTCATTGCAGTTGTAATTTCTATTTCCCTGATAGCTAATGATGTTGAACATTTTTCATGTCCTTATTTGCCATCTCTATATCTTCTTCAGTGAAATGCCTGTTCACTGTTTTGCCCATTTTCTAAATGGATAGTTTCGTTTTTTACTATTGAGCTTTAAGAGGATTTATTCTGGATACTATTCCTTTACTGGATAAGCGATTTGAAAATATTTTTTCCTGGTCTGTTGCCTGTCTTTTCATCCTTTTCCCATTCACTTTCACAAGGCAAAAGTTTTAAATTTTCTAAGGTCCAGTTTATTACTGGCAAGCCTAAAAACTTTTTGCCTAACCCTAGATCCCAAAGATGTGCTCCTATATTTTTCTCTAAAAGGTCTATATTTCTATATTTTTATGTTTTGCATTTACATTCAAATCCATTTTGAATTAATTTTCATATATGAGTGAGGTTGAGGGCAAGGTTCATTCTTTTCCCTGTGGTTGTCCAGTTGTTTCTGGACACCATTTAATAAATGCACCATTTACTGAAAGGCTGTCCTTCCACTGAATTGCTTTTGCACATGTGTCAAAAATCAGCTCAGCATATTTGTGTGCATCTGTTTCTGGATTCTCTGTTTTATTCCATTGTTCTGTGTGTCTGTCCCTCTGCCGTTCCCACACTGTCACGCTCATTGTGGCTACATAATAAGTCTTAATACTAGGTAGATTCTGGTTCTTTACACTTTGTTCTTCTTAGTCAAGGTAGTCTTAGTTATTCTAGGGCCTGTGCTTTTTCTGTGTAAGTTTTAGCACAAGCCTGTCTACATCTACAAAAAATGTAAAACAACCAAAAACCTTGCTGGAATTTTGATAGGAATTACATTAAATCTGTCTATCAATTTGGGGACAGTTGAAACTATGCTGAATCTTCCAATCCATGAACACAGTAGGTGTCTTCACTTTATTTAGACTGATTCTTTTTTATCAGTATCTTGTAACTTGCAGCATATAGATCCTTTGTATTTTTTATTATCTGTATACCTAAGTACTGTGTTTTCTTTGAAACGATTGTAAGCAATTTTGTGTCTTTAATTTTGGTTTCTGCAGGTTTATTCTTACTCTCTAGAAATTGTATCCTGTGACCTATTTAACTCACTTTGTAGTGGGAATTTTTTGGTTTGCTTTTTGTTTTTGTAGATGCCTTCCTATTTTCTATTTAGACAATCGTATCATCTGCAAATAGGGGTCATTTTATTTCTTCCTTTAGAAACTGTATGCTTCTTATTTTTTATTCTTTTATTATTGCAGTGGTCAGAACTTCTAGTATGATGTTGGCTGCAAGTGGCTAGAATGAACATCCTTTCGTCTTCCTGATGTTGGCAGAAAACATTGTCTTTCACCATCAAATATGATGCTAGTTGTAGTTCTTTGTAGATGCTCCTTATGAAACTGGTTTCTTCTTAAAATCTGGCTAATTAGAGGCTCACAAAATGTGAATAATGTCACATTTTGCAAGAATTAGGAGACAGGAAGAAAAATCTGAGAGGTTTCTACCAAATAATTTCTGGAATGACTTCTTATTTATTTTGACTCCTAAACAGGGCTTGTTCTGATACAGTTCTTGTCAAGATTGGACCATATGCAGCCTTGACTTGGGTTTGGGTTGCATATATAATCTGCCAGGATATTTCAGTAATCTGAAACTTTTTGGATATTTCTACTACTTTTATCTCTATAGTCCCTAGGGTTAAAAAAAAAAAAAAAAAGCCGGGAAAACACTTAAGGCCACTGCAGTTATTTTTGTTTGCTCTTCCTAATGCATGTTCTCCATGAACTGGCCACATCAGGTATCCAAAAATAATGTTCTTTGCCCTTATATACTGTAGAGATGGTATCACTGCAAATGTCCAGAGCAATGGACCAGCCTGTGACAGTGTTAGCGTTTAGGCAAAAGAGGTTTTCATCTATAGAGAAGAGACATTGTTGGTTTCCGTAGGACCCGTGTTTTATCCCTGTTGGTGTATATTCTAGGTAAAATCAGTGATGAATATGTTTTATGATGTGAAGTTATATAACAGAAGAAAACAAGGAAGTGGACAGAAAATCAGTAATTATGATGAATACCTGGTTGTCAAAATATAATGATTTGAAATTACTTTTCCACGTGTGGGCTGCATTCTGATATGATGTACTCCTCCACTGAGTCTTTGGGAAACATTTGGATGGTCCAGGTTTGCGGTTGCAGCTCAGTTACACTTCAAAAGCCTTAATGTCTTGACAATGCTGCATTTGGTTATAGATTTAAGATGATGTAATGCTACGTTATATCACTTTTTTAGGGTAACTTCTGAGTAAAATAAGTCCATAAACACTACTTTTTTCTCCTTTTATAGTCACACATATGTGAGTTTTGCTGAATTGCTTTATTCCATGCTTAAAAGCTAGCAATTTAATACTGTTTTTCAGTAACAATAAAATGAAACACATAGGCCTTCCAATTTCCCTTTGATGTATTGATTTATGGTGCTCAGAAAATTTTATCAAGTTGAAGAAGGTTATTTTGGTTTTTGCATTTTTCAAAGTTGAAATTTTTCAAGTTGTATTTTTTTTTTTTTTTTTTTTTTTTTTTTTTGCAGTACGCGGGCCTCTCACTGTTGTGGCCTCTCCCGTTGCGGAGCACAGGCTCCGAACGCGCAGGCTCAGCGGCCATGGCTCACGGGCCCAGCCGCTCCGCGGCACGTGGGATCTTCCCGGACCGGGGCACGACCCCGTGTCCGCTGCATCGGCAGGCGGACTCTCAACCACTGCGCCACCAGGGAAGCCCCAAGTTGTATTTTAAAATACATACACTGCCTTACTTTTCATAGTCACCACATAGGCAATTTATATCAACGCTTAAAAGCTATGAAATGAGTATATTCTTCCACAAATTGACAGTGTAATTGTTCTAATACAGAAAGTGACACCACAGCATATATTAGCTATGGAACGCACAGTACATTTTTTTAAGTCACAGTTTAGAGAAACAAATGTTTCTTCTTTTTTTCCCCGTAGGCTTAAGCTTTGTTCAAAATGAAGCCCATAGAATTCTCTCCATGCTGTAATTTAAGCTGGAGAATATGAATTGGAATTTGCTGTCCTGGATTATTATTGAAAGAAATTAAATGGTTTTTTAAAATAGCCACTGGTGATCAAAATAGTATTTGCCTTAATTGCTTTATTAAATACTTGAAAAAATTATACGACCAGTGATAAAAACAGTTGGTATTTTTTTTACAGCTACAAATAAAAAGGAATTTGTGGGTTTAATTTACAGGATTAGTGGGTATGTATTTTTGTTTCTATTGCTGCATTTCTAGAAGGCTTAATAAAGAAATCAAAATCCTACTTTTCCTTCTCAAAGCAAATGTTAAATGTTTTCCTCCTGAGGTTCCTGAGATGGGATTTTTTATTATCCTAAAGAAGAGGAATGTCTCTGTGTGAACATTTTAAATTTCTGGTCCTTTCTGAAATTCTGTTTTGTTTTGTTTTCAAATCAGATCTGGAAAATTTTAAAACCAAAATGAGAAGCACAGTGTCAGTGCGTGAAGGACAGGGAGTTGTCCTGCTCTGTGGCCTCCCGCCACACTCTGGAGGTAACAAGTGCTCTGTTTTTGCTTTTTATGTTTATTAAACAAGTTTCGGGGCGAGAGCCACAGCACATGTACTGTTATTGCTTCCATAAATTACCCTGAGAAACTTGATAATCCAAGCATTGGATTCTGTCAGTTGAGTTGCAATATAAGAAACTCTACAAAAAACAGTCTATCCAGAGGAGATGATAAACATAATTGACTCATTCCAACAAGGAAGGTCCTAAAGGCAAGCAAGATCAAGTTAATTTCAATTACCTAATGGTGCTGAACAATGCTTCATCCTTACACTATTATCATTTATTATTTAATTGTAGACCGTGACGTACATTGGTGTCTTTGTGGTTTCTCTCTCTCTCTCTCTCTCTCTCTCTCTCTGTCTCTCTCCTGCCTTACGCATACACGCTTACAAATGCTTATTGATATATGCTGTTGCACCTCTTGATATATGTGTAATATATATATTGAAAATGAAATATGTGTGTGTATTCACATCATTTTATTGGGTGTTGGAATTGCAAATTTTATGCTACATTGCTATAAATTGAAATATTGCTGGAAATTCACAAGGTTAACAAAATAGCTACCAAGAGTGAAAATGAACTTCCGCACATATGAAAATAATTTAATAAGTACTGCTCCCCAGTAAGAGCCTGAAGTGATGGTTGGACTTTCCTCTCACGCTCACTATTACAAACTTGGTCACTTGCAGGAACAAAGAAGGCATTATTAATGTATAAATCATTGTTCTCAGAGAAGCAAACGCATTCTGTTATGAGAGGATGAGAATTCCTGAGAGATAAATAGGTTAGAGAGAAGCTTTCTGACCAGAGATGAAACTGAGAAGCCTTCCTCCCATTATAATAAAGCTTATTCAGATGTCAGTATGCTGGACTTTATTTGTTCTGTGACATCCAAACCAAAGTCCTTGTTGCCCAGTGACTTGGCAGTTTTAATCACAAAATCCTCAGCCCAATAAAACAGACATTTCCCATCTTCAGTATTTGATCATTTGAAATGTCTGAGCCAGCTGCAGACTGCAGATTTGGGGCTTGATTAGCTACCGTGCTTGCCCTCGTGTTGGTGAGTATGGGTTTAAATTGGGCTCCCCAGTCTACTTCGGGAGTGTATATTTTGCTGAAATCATGAAGTTTCAGAGGACCTGTGACTTTGAAGGGAGGCATAGACTCTCTTGATTAGCAGTAAAAGTAACTGAGCTCAAACTGGCTTGAAGAAAACAGGGAGTTTATACTGGCTCATATAACTGAGTTGAGCATATGCTTTCTACTAGAGCTGTATGGTTGACACAGCAATGTACCACCCAGAATTACTCGCTGCGTCACTGTGGGCCGTGGGGTCAGCCAGTGGCCTCCAGCTCTCAGCTTCTTCCTGATCTCCTTGGCTGCAGGAGCCACTTGCCCAGGGTCTCACCCTTCCAGGGACTGCCTGCATCTGGTGACTGAACAAGGAGAGGATATAAAGGGTCAGCCCCTTCTGCCCAACACTGGACAGTTCTAGTGGGGAGGGCTCAATCCAGAGCTTCCTTCCAGCATGACCAAGGCTTTCTGGATCACCACAGTTTGACTTCTTTCTTATCTCAAATCCTGCTTCTGCCTCCTTGCTTTCACGGGTTTTGAACTTTGGTCAAAATCTTTCTCCCAGACTCTAATATTTGCTCCCTGCGAACCCAATCTGCTGGACCCAATGGTTTAAACAGTTTCATAAGCGGTTGGTCTTTCTTGCTGTTTCTTGGCTCTGCTTCCCTCCATGTTGATTCCATTGTCATGTAAGCTCCCTGTGGTAGCACAGGTGGCTCCTGGCACCTCCAGGCCTTCTGGTCCTTAGTGCTAAGGATCCTAATGGACCAGACAGCCTGTTGCTCAGTGGCTCCTGATTTTCATTGGATCAGCCTTGTTCATGAGATTTTCCCCTCCAGCAGAGAACCAGAGTCAGCTCCATCTACTGGCAAGCACTGAGATGAGAAAGGCGTAGTTTACGAAAGAAAAGAAGGGTTTTTTGTTGTTGTTTTGTTTCTTCATTTTTTTTTTTTTTTTTTTTTGGTGGTCCGCGGGCCTCTCCCCGCTGTGGCCGCTCCCGTTGCGGAGCACAGGCTCCGGACGTCCAGGCTCAGTGGCCATGGGTCATGGGTCCAGCTGCTCCGTGGCATGTGGGATCTTCCCGGACTGGGGCACGAACCCGTGTCCCCTGCATCGGCAGGCGGACTCTCAACCACTGCGCCACCAGGGAAGCCCAAGAAGGGTTTTATTATGAGAAAAAAAAGGGAGTGATGTTTTAGGTAGACACTAATAATGGTTAGAAGTACACCTAGTAAGCAAGTATCAAAATAACTAAAGTTTATTTTTTAAAAGCAACATAAAATAGTAGCTGGGCGGTCTTGTCTATGATGTGTGTTGGAACTGTTGACCCAAATTAAAAGTCTAAGTGATCTTCTTTAAACATTTTTATGATTAGATGTACTTGCTGATAACAAAGGAGGGAATCTTTTAGTTGACTGGGCATGCACACAGTGAGGAAGTCTTAATAAGCGGTTGGATAAAACATGTTCCAAAAGATGAATCTTTTCCATTGTCATGAAATTGGAGAACTGCTGGCCAGTCACAACTCTCCTAAGTAATGACATCCTCTAAGTAATGATTCCTCTCTGCCTTGGCGACTTCATATAGTGCTCTTTTCATTTTTAAAGCTCACAGTCTGGGGTGACTGTGAAAGTCAGTAGAATCGTTGGCAAAGAAGGAAAGAAATCTTCCCAGATGCGGTGCATTAGCTCTTAAGACCCCGCGGCATGCGTGGGCGAGACTGAACAAAAGCCTATCTTCCTGCATGCTAGATTGTGCAGGAAAATGATAGGGACCAGAGCATCAGATTTAGATGCTGAGAACAGGATTGTCATTGATCCAAGACTGCCTAATGTTGAGTTTGCCAAGTCACAATTTACACCCCCTGCCCTGACTTCTTGGTTTGGGAGCTTCTTGAAGACAGAGCCTATGTCCGGGTTTGCTCTGCACCCAAGTGCCTGAAACTAGGCTGGTTTATGACAAGCAGTCAGTAAATAACGGTTGAACAAATGAACACATTCATGAAATGAATAAAGGAATCCTCTTTAGATTGGGCCAGTTACAGGTGATTTCTGAGAATGCACTGCAAACTCTGTTTCTAGAGGTGGAAGCATTTAACAACTAATATGCGCTGGGTGCCAAGCAGACAGGTGCAGACACTGACAGGTGACGGTGAACTCTGCCCACAGCAGCTGGTATCAGCTCCGCTTCATCCCCTTGTGGACTGAGGGACTTTTCATTCAGTGGAGGATGTGAGGCAGCACAGAGCAGCTGAAGCCGTGACTCCAGGATTTATCAGTACATGTGATATGGGGCACACATGGCCCCGCTGTGATCCATTGTGTCCTCCTTCCACAAAGTCCCATGGTCTCTGCAGGACACGACCTTCCCTTCTCTGTCTTAACTGCTGTATTACTTTTACTCACTTCTACTTGGTCCCTTCTCAGTGGTCGGAAATTTTTAATTTTGTTGTTGTTTTCTGATTACTGAAGACATCATCGTATTTTATTATCTATCATATGCTCTAACAGAATCACAGCCTGACAGAGTAGACACAAGGGTGAAATAATAATAATAATAATAATAATAACAAATAATAATAGTAGTCTCTTTATTGAGTGCTGCTTAGTTGCTAAGCAGGGTGCTGGCTCTTGGTGGAAATAAATCATCTGCTAGGAGATTCCTTTGATTAAAAGTATGGAGAGGAACTGGATAAGTGACAAGGGAGATATGCAAAAAAAGAACCCAAATAGGAGTCCCAAAGTATGGAAACTGAATATATTATTCAAACTCCCTTAAATAATTTGTCTATGCAGATAATTTATAAGCAAGTAGCAGCAACCTGGGGTTGCTTTGCTTAAGAGCAATCGCCACTTACATGATGCCAGAGAAGGAAAAATTGTTTCCTGATGGGTGACAGAAATGTTTCCTGGGAGTCCCCATAACTCCTAAGCAATGCAGGTTACTGTCATTTGAGAGGGGTCTTATCTCCCACTCATTCGTGACACTTTCTGCCACTTCCTATTCATTGTCTTCTCTGCAGAATAATCCAACATCTCTCTAAGGTGAAAGGAGTTAGTATCCTCTTGAAAATTAGCTGGAAGTGACATGCCCAATATAAGGTACCAGCCATGGATTATCCCTGGGTTAGTTATCAATCTAATTACCAATAGTGTGAAAAATTGGGAATTAGTGTAATTACCAGTAGTTGCTGATATCACTACAAGATTGTTGAAATTCAAATGCACAAAAATATTATCCTAATATAAATAAGGATACAAGGCTAGTTCATGGGCCTTTCATGATAAATACTAATTAGACAGGAATTCATAGGTTAATCAAGTTATTGCCTAAATACATGTTAATAAAGACTTGGTTTTTGTCCAAGGATACCTGATGAGATTTATTCTGAGTTAAAAATAGACCTGAGTATTTCCCAGTGTTTCATGAGCAAACAGCTTTGGTCTCTGATCCAGCTTCCAACGTCTCTGCTCTGTACATATTCTTCTTACAGTGACAGCCCTGGACACTGCCATCCTTTGGGATGTGAAAAGGAAGAGTGTGAGATGCTAAACAGCAGGTAGTGGAGGATGAAGCAACTTCTTGCTAAAAATTGCTTTGTAAATCCTGGTGTGACAGAGGTGACAGCTGTTTGCAACATAACCAGATGGCATGGGATTTACACCCTCTGTGTCAACATCTTTTTTTTTTTTTTTCCCTAGGACCAAAAAACAAAAGTCACCTCAGGTAGTTTAGATGGGGCAACTTGAAGAAAGTTTTCCAAGTAGGAATGTTCTGGAAACACTTGTGCAGTTGTTAGACCTTGCTTCAAGGCGATGAGACATTACCTAGTGTTTTGGGATGTGATTTTGACCCAAAACAGTAGTTTCTCCAAATACCTTAATGTGTAACCTTACCACCACCTTG